TTGCAAAAAACAAATTAAATAGGTAGGTAAAAAATACAACATATTTCACTAACATAAGTTTATATGGGCGCGAAAACTAGCAAAGACAGGAAATAAAATGTAGCATTATTGTCGCCATGTTTATTTATCCTTGACTATTCCCTCACCAGAGTGAATTACATTACGAATGTTTGTTACCCGGAAGTCTGTAATAAAACTGAATTCATATCCAAAATGCATAAAGGTGTGTGTCATTTAGGGCCTCACTGCATGGTCACTGCGTTTCCCGGAATTGATTGGGTCGCAATTACCGTAGCTTTCGACGAGGTAAAAAGTCTCTCATCCCTTGGTTATTACCCAGACAACTAATAAATTTATAAAATTACTAAATTAGTTGTTTGAGGTTATTATCACAGTTTTTCGTCGTTTTTCGTTAAAACAGTAGTGTTGTAAAATAACTCATATGCGATTTTAAGAAAAAAAACTGTTTAAATATAAGTCACTTAAAGGTGGGAACAAAATGTGTCATATTTTAAAACACTTAGATTTGCAGTGTACACAAACTAAATAATTCTGATGTGAAGCCTAAACAAATCTTCCCATTTTGTTTTACAAAAGCAATGCGCGCTCACACTTTTTTGTTCTTAAATTATTATATTTCACTGTGAAAATTGACCGCTTACATACAATTTTTTTTTTCTGGGCCTCATGTTAAATGAATATTTGTGTCCTTGACTGTGGAGCTACCAGCCATCATTGGAACACCACTATCTGGCAACTGAATAGTTTCCTTGGACATGAAGCCTGTACAATGAAAAACAAAAATATATGTACATTAAACAATTGAGCATAATTATAATGGCATCTTCAGAATATTTTTTTAAATGCAATTTGAACAAGAACATTTTTAATATTCCTGTTAGATAGTGAAAGTTGATACATATATTGGACTCTATTGGATTCAAAATAAACTGACATTGTAGCACACATATGAGTTGTCGTAAAATGAAAGTCACTGCACATGCGTATTATTGTTTGTTATTTTCTATCTAGCGAATATTGTTGCATGTCTTACAGCAAACGCAGCCTTTTTTGTGTATGGTAAATACTAATCCGATTTGGTGGACAGTATGAAGTATCATACAAATTGCATCTTTAAATTAATATCTTAATATTAGTTTAATTTCATGGCTAATTTAGTTAATTATTAGTGTTATCGAATGCTATAAAACTTGTTGAATTGCAGGACATTAAATAATCTGAACCATAAATAAGCCTTTTATCGTGATAGTGTGGTGGCATGCATTTCCGTTGTGTGATAAATCTAATTGTTTGGAACTTCACAAATGAACAATTGTAGTGCAGTATTGTACCACAGCATTAAAGACCCACAGTAATCGTCTATTATGCGTTAGAATTATGTAGACACATAACTGTTCTGTGCGTTGTGTCATATGTGATCCGTGTGCAACAAATGTGACGCTTAAAATAACTCGTTAAAAGTCATAGTATTCAAAATATCAAAACCGAGCTGTGGGATTAAGCAAATCCTTTGTCTTTATTATTCTGTACGAGAAAAAATAGAATGCCAATATTACACGTCGATAAGCAAACTCCGACAACATCAGAATCCACAAGCAAGTTGAAGAAAACATGAAGAAAACGTACAACATTGTCAAATCAGGGAGAGATACATAGACTGGATATCAACCAAGAGTTGATAAGTGGAGCACTTGCAGACCTTACCCAAGGCTACTCCAAAGTGGTATCCGTTAGTGAATTTGTGTGTGTAGCTTTATCCACATACCCAAAATAGTAATTGTTGTGATTGTAATTTACAATGGAAAAGTGAGTAAAAGTGTTGTGAGCAAATTTCGGTCAGTCAGTAGCATTTTACTCAAATAATTGTCCTTGAAACAGATAAAATCACACTTTGAACTGAATGGCGGTGGGGGAAAAAATAAAAATTTATATTTCTTTCAAAACCTGGTAATAACATACATACAAATGTCCCGAATACATATGTACGTGAAAATATTAAAATGATCAACCTTTAATCTGATCCAAGGAAACATTTTTCTCACAGTTTATGACAAATATTACTTATCTGAATTTATGAGCAACATTTTTCACTGAAAAAAAAAGCTGCAATTCATTAACAGATCTGTTTCAATCACCTTGTTGAGCGAAACAAATAGAATGTTTACCTAAATTTTTAGGGGTCAACTAAAAAAATGCGAAAAAAGAACAGCAAAATCAATAACCGGCTTTCATGCACAGAAGGCAACTTAGCAGATTTTGTGTGTTTTGTAATGTAAAATTCCTATAACAAATCTCCCTTTAGTGTAAAAAGCGTTTACGTAATGCAAGTAAGTCACACGTTTGTATCATTGTGATTTGATCCTTAAAGAAAATTATGTTTTAAAGAAATGTCGCTATATTATAGGCGACAAACAAATAGACTACATACTACATACAGAAGTACTCAGTCACCGGAGGGCATGATTCAAACGACATCAGTAATTACACATGACGTTATTTTTGATATGTAAACTAGTAGTGTATTGGGTATTCATATTTATCACAAATGACAATTGGATTAGATGGTCAGATAAAAGTAGCATTTTGCAACCTTTTGGTTACTCCACTCAGTTTTTACCCCATGATGGTGTGATATGATCGCTTCCCTTTCAATTGCATGCGTCTAGTTCCGCGTACATCACATTTTCATAGTTGCCGTTTTTTTATTAGTGTATCAAAAAATGCGCTTCGAGATCATCAATATTCATGATATCTGTCTTTCGCAGATGGATATCCACCTACCTCGACCACTATCATGCTCAAGCTATATTTTTAAAATAGTTTAATTGTTCACAGTATTATTTGTTGACGGCTATATTCAGCTTTTGGAAATTACAGTTGCTAATCAGACGAATTCGTGTCACTCTGGTTTTGAGGATGGGACGGCCATTCACACATATGCATGACATGACTTTACGTAGGATATGTGTGTTGGTGTAGAATAACTGGATCAATTTTTCACTAAAAATCATTTGATCCAGCTACATCATTTGATGCTCTCCTTTAAAGTTGCATCGTCTCATACCGCCATCATGTGTTTGATGTTAGCCAAAGGGGCGTTTTATCCGTATATTCTCTCTAACGCCTTTTGTGAGGGCATACGTTAATTAGAGTACTACTGTATAAATTTGTGTTTACTGCCAAGTACCGGTGATGTATGGATTTGGTTAACTTTTAATTGGACATTACAAAACTGAGAAATTTGAAAATATAAAGTCTGGAGGAAAAGAAACAACTGGCACTTATTTATTAACTTTGAACATAAACATTACTCTACTGGTCATCATTGTATCATACTTCATGATAAAAAATGATTTTAAAATCATAAACCACCCACACCATACAGTAATATTCCTATCTCTCCAACCTATTGTGTGTACATTCTACAGTTGACATGTTCTGCAATGTCGTTGCATTAATTTATTACAATACCGTTTCTGTACTGTAACTCAAAAAGTTGTATGGCAGATACAACGTTATTGTGGGAAAATACCTTTGCCACAAATGATTGCTGATGTCTGGATGGGAAGTAATACCTTAAACTGCTGTTGGTTTATTTATTTCGAAACAAGGTTATATATGTAAATGGTTTCGTTAATTTAATTGTAATCATATTGATAGAGAATCACGTACATGTTGCTTTCGCAGAATTTTTGTCGAGCAATGAATCGTCAACAGCAATCGTGTTATAGGCGTATAGCCTACCTAATGGTAAATGCATATTTGTTCACATTTGGACGCAGTCAAAAAACTTTATGAACTTATAGAACGACCCTTGTGTGTGGGGCCGAACTTGTGTCTTAGCCGTGCCTGAACCGATCAGATTCAAACTTCACACGTACATATTATACATGTGCACACCGATTTGTTTCATGATCTGATTCAAGATGGCATTTTGTGATACAAAATAATCAAAATCAAGCATTTCTGGCATTCCGCAACCGGATCTCTGCTGTTTACAGTTGGATTTTGTTCAACCTTATACATACATTAAACATTATTGAACCCTGCTGCACGTCATTTAAAATGGCCAACTGATTTAAAATAGCCAACTGGCTGCCATTTTGTTTGTTAAAATGCGGTTCTACTGCTATATTTCTGACATGCTTCGATTGATCATGTTCAAATTTGATATTCATTATACATCCTGTCATCGATATAGAGATGTATTTAAAAAGCTTTTCCAGTCAATATCTCTCAATATGGACACGTACTCGTTTGAAAATCAGACACAAAATTAAGCATCAGCTTCTGGATCTATATCTGACATGTTTGTGTTCCAACTATATTATTATAACTGTGCCATACATGGCTTGTTTTCATAAATATAATGCAGTAAGCATCTGCAAGACTTTCCTTTGAGAGACGAAGCGTAGAAACTGTGTGATCAATCAATGGCTTATAGTTATTGGTGGATAATATATAACGTACGCCTAAGTAATTAGTAGAACTGTAAGCAATTTTATAAGCAGAGCGAGGAATTTTAAAGCTGGAAGTGTTCTCTGACTAGTAATCAAGTAGTTTACATGATATCTTCCTAGTGTAAGTGTAGTGTGTGTTTCCTGCACACTACGTCCTATTTGTAACACAATTGTCAACGATCGGTTTTGTGTTGCATATTGCAGTGTCGGTATGTGGTGGCTGCCACAACAGAGCAGGATGCGCTTGTCACGTTTTGATTGATGAATCTCTCCCTGACTTTTAGCAAGTTTATTTTAAGTGTCACATTTGTCGCACCGCATCCTTGTGGGTCACATGGGAAGTATTAATTGTGTGTCAACATAATTCAACTCATAACAGACTGTAGGTCTTTAATACTGTGGTACAATACTGAACTACAATTGCTCCTTTGTGAAGTTTCAAACAATTGGAATTATCATACACCGAAAATGCATGCCATCACACTACGATACACATCACGATAAAAGACTCAATATTTATGCTTTAGATTATTTATTGTCCTGCAATTCAACACGTTTTATAGCATGCAATAACACTAATAATAAACTAAATTTACATTAGACATGAAACTAAACTACACGTACGATTTATTTACGAGGCATGCGGTTGCAGTAATATATTCGCGGAGTGATTTCATGAATGAGGTACCCTTCATTTCCGGCGATTTCCTGCAATAAGAGAATTAATAATTAAGACTTTGATTTAAAGATGTGTTTACCATCCATAAAAACGTTGAAGACATGCAACAATACTCGTTATATAGAAAATGAAAAAAAAGTGATTTTCAGTTTACGTACAAAAACAAATGATTCACAACTTAATAAATAATTGTATTGGTTCATGAAACGACAAATCGGATGTTTGCTACAATATCAGTCCATTATGCATCCAATAGAGTTATATAATATATAATTATCTACTTTCAGTATCAAACAAGATTTTTATTAATTTTTTTTATTCAAATTGCATTAAAAAAATTACAGCCATACAATATTAGGCTACAATTAATCAAGAGTAAAACAGTGACAATCTCGAAGATGTCATTATTATTATGCTCAATTGTTTCATGTACTATTTTTTATTCTCCACTATACATGCTATATGTCCGAGGAAACTATTCAGCTGCCAGATAGTGGCGCCCAAATAATGGCTGGTAGCTCTACAGTTAAAAATATTCAGTTAACATGATGCCCAGCAGAAATACATTATACAGTCAATTTCAAGAATTTTAGTTAATTTTACAACAAATGTGGGCGCGAGAAAAGAGAAGATTTAGTTAGACCTAACATCAAATTTATAATTATTTAGTTTGTATGATACTTACAGCTTAAGCAGAACATAAATACTTTTGAGCATAGTTGCATGTAGTGTCGTCTAATTTCCATGTATTGTTATAATACCTGTATATAAGGACAGAAGAGATTTTTTAATCCGATGAAATTGTTTGCATTTGTAAGCACGATGCTAATAAATTTGCAACTGAAGGTAAAATGCAATTTTGTCAAAATGTGTTTATATTTATGAGTAGATTTGTTTTTCAAATCCAATGAAATTATTGATGAAACAATCATATTGATATAACAAATATCATTTGTTCACGATAAGTCACCTGGCTTAGTTTTAACATATTTTTGTCATAGAATACAATTGTAAGTTATACTAAAATGCTATTTTAATACCATTTTGTGAATAACATTTTCATTTTATCCTAAAATGTCACAAATGAAGACATAATGACAATAGTTTTTTTTTATTTTTGAGGAACGTCTTACTTTAAAACTGTGCTAAAACATGTAATTAGTCTTTCTGTATTTCCCATAGTACCACTATCAATAATAACAAAAACAACATAATACATAGTATATATCATATGCACTTACCACAAATGGAGACAGGAACCACTTCCATTGGGCTCATTTGGTTGAAACAATTCTGAATAAAC